AGACACACACACACACACACACACACACACACACACACACACACACACACACACACACACACACACACACACAGAGACACACACACACACACAGACCATCACTGGATCTCACATTGAGATAAAACACATGGATTATGAAGTGTTTGAACAGATCGTCCTGCAGGGTCTCAGTCAGTAGGGACTGAGCCGTAGGGTCGCCGGTTCAAGTCCCCGAACAGACCTCAATATGGAGAGTGGGCTGCTACTTGGAGAGGTCCCAGTTCACCTCCTGTCCTGCCGTGGTGCCCTTGAGGAAGCCAGTCCTCTCCTCCTCTGCACTGAAACGCTCTGATGGCCAGAGATCATATAGACAGGGGTGCACACAACTTCCTCAGTGAGGTGCTCAGATGAGTACCTGGAGTCAGTGTTTGGTACTCCAACTTCTGGCTCCCCTCAAAGTTCCCTTGAAGCCCTCTGTATCGTGAATGTCAGCGGGGGGGGTAGTGGAGTGCAGAGCTTCGGGACCACAGAGCGTGTGAACGTTGTGATCAGCTGTTTTAGCGCAGTGCTGCTGTACAGACCGACGTTAACAGCAGCCCTGTCTGTGCACACGGAAACCAATCCGGTGATCTAACCGCCTCCTGGAAAAGTTTCACAAGTATGTCGGTACGCAAATGCGCTTTGTGACACAAGTGACGGTACGCATTTCAGATTTTTGCCGCGCATGCGTACCTGCGTATGTGCACCCCTGACTATAACTCAATATCAATACCCCCCCCTCCCCCCCCCCCCCAATGTTTTACTGATCTATAAAGATTTTCTGTAAACAAAAAAAAATGTTATGTTGTGTTTACATTCAGTGTCTCTCCCCAAATAGTATGAGAACGTACATCCTTATGTGTGTGTGTGTGATACAAACCAAACAGGGACCCACTCAAAAACATTGCTTTTTAGCGGTACTAGTGGATAAAAACTCCCCACTGGACTTTTAACTCAACGTCATCTCGTAATTTATCTCATGTTTGTTTTAAAGTAGGTAAAAGGTTCATTGTTGTTATCAGTAGTAGTGAGACCATCCTGTGTTAAACGCATCTGCAGAACTACTGTAAAGTCTGATTTGTAAGTTAGCCAATCAGGTGCAAGGCCAACAGGAGTCACCCTTTGACCCATTTGTCTCTCTGTGACACTGAGTATCAACGTGGCTGCCTTCCAACATTTCTGTTTAAGGTTTAAACCCTATAGACCTTGTGCTGTACAAAGATCATAATGAATTGTAAGACAAATGTATAAAGGATACACACCATTCCAAAGTAGTGTTCAGCTTTTAAATGATGACCTCATGTAGCACTGTGTTTCAGTTGAAGGGCACTGTGGCAGTGCTTTGACAGTTTGACAGTTTTGTGAAAGTATAAATGGAAACATTGACACACGTGCTCCTGTCGGTTGAAGGTGCTGCGCGCTTCATGATCAAAGAGCTGTCGTATCATAACCTGGAGCTGGAGAGAAACCGACTCGAGGAGCAAGGCGTCAAGAGGCAAGATGTATGGCCTTTCATCGTCATGATGGACGACTCCTGCGTGCTGTGGAACACACACAAGCCGGCAGACAGCAGGTAGCTATTGTTTCTGATTTGTAACACTCGCAGAGACAGGAGCTGCTGAGTTTTTAACAAATATAGTTGTTCACATTGACAATATTTCACTTCAAGCTTTACCAGGAATGTGCATATGCTAATATTTACTGAGTCTTGTTATAGGAAAGTATGGAGATGGTATGTGATTTTTAAACTGTGTCCTCAAAAAGAAAAACATAAAAGAAAAACATATTAAACGTGTGCCCTGTCCTGCTTTTTCTCTCCCAGTGAGACAACAGAGGGAACCAACGTGTCTCTAAAGAGGGTGCTGCAGCATATGGAAACCACACCGAAGATCTCCCTGTATGCGATGTGCGGGACTCGCAGGTGGAGCAGCAGCCTAGCTCGCAGGTCCCCTAGCCAACCCTTCAGCCGCTGTCACCTCCACGACTGCATCATGCTAAACGTGGACCTGACGCAGAATGTTCAATATGACCTTAATCGGTAAGTTAATAGAAAACTGTGTTTATCTGTTACACATTTACTGATTTCTGCAGTGTCATAATCCCCTAGTGTTGCTGTTTTGTCCATGTGCAGGTATAGCTGTGAGGAGGTGGACTTTAATCTAAGAGTGAACAGCAGTGGGCTGCTGCTGTGTCGCTTCAACTACTTCAGCCTCATGAAGAAACACATTCCAGTTGGGGGGAACAAAGACTTCCTGGTCAAACCGAAACTCATGGTAGGTGTTTTCGGCATATGATAGCTATGTGACAACGATTAACATGATGATTCAACCTCTATGGAGATAGACATATGACAAGCATGATCAATTCTGATGTGGGCCTTAGCTGATCTAAACAAAACATTGTATACTGCTTTGAACTGGTATTCATGNCCAGAGAAACGGAAAATCCACCCAAATCACCCCAGAGGTGTTTTTTTCTTTGCTAAATCTCTCTAAAAATATCAAATGTCACTTGTTTTGCATCAATCTTGATACAGGGTACTTATTATATGTTAAAGATTGATGCAAAACAAGTGACATTTGATATTTTTAGAGAGATTTAGCAAAGAAAAAAACACCTCTGGGGTGATTTGGGTGGATTTTCCGTTTCTCTGGAACCCATTGGTTGATGTTGGTGATTGACATCTCTTTTTAACCGCTAGAGCCAATAGAATCGAGGGGGAGTTCCTAAAATCCATCTAAACATTGAGGAGTGATGCGCACGCAGCTTGCCCAAAACCGGAAGCTCTGTTACACCCAATATGAAAACTAGGCTTATTGCCAGAAATGCTATGATGGATTATCAGTAATCATTTCAAAGTGACAGACACACCGGATGAACCTTCAGAAGCGTTTATATCCGTTCATCTGCGTCTTAATGCCCTTGAACACAACTTTTGATCAGAGAACAGCAGGTAAGGCGTATTTGCCGTTTGGCTCCGTAAAGCTACGTTGTGTGTTGTCTGGTTTCGCTGCCGTGAGATCTGGTCGCACAGTGATGATACCTATACCATTGGAATCTGTGGAATCTCAGCTTTAATCTGATATCTAGTTTGTGCAGATCCGATGAAGTATAAAAGATCGCCAACGTGAGTTATGTGCCGACGGGGGCAATCGGGCTTAAAAGGTGAAGGCAGTGGTTCTCAAACCTTTTCTGTCCGGCCCCCCCTTTGGAGAAAAAAAAAAGTCCGCCCCCCCAACACAAGTCAGGCTCAGATTTCGGTGCTGTGGGGTAGCTTGAAGTTTCATAGAGGGTGCTCAAACATTTAGGGTTTCCCATTAATGTCCCGGGCGCTACGGGGGAATGTTCTACTCCACACACACACACACACACACACACACACACACAC